GGACCCAATGAGTGGCGTGTCACTTGGTCCAACTCACCTTTGGCCGGGGTGATTTGGCGTCCGAGCATGGCGAAAGAGGATAGAAGGTGCAGTCATGCAAATTAAAGACTTGTTCGGCTTGTTTGAAAGTATTGTTCGGTTAAATGTTTGTGTGCCCACTTAGCAATCGCATGTTAGTTACATCCGCAATGCATCATTACATATTAATTTCTGGTTACTGGGACTTTTAAGTCTCATTCCCCGTGGTTAATATTTTTACACAGGAGCGAGTCCGGCCGAGAAAGGCACCAGAGGTGTAACTGTGGTGTATGAGACACCATCTTTTACGTTGCCTCTTATTTTAGATTATACAATGTATCTTGTGCCAACTTAGGACATATCTTCTTTGTGAAGCATGTAAACTCTAATCCTTTTTTATTAAAAGTATTTATATGACCAAGAGGATTATGTTTATCCCTCTTGATTCATGACCTGATTTGAATAACATGCCATGAGGATCATGTCTGTCCCTCATGGTTTTAATTGTTTTTTTTGAGATATTTTAAGACCTGTGGTATATTGTCTTGGATGTATCATGGTAGAAATTTTTCTACCATGATAAGGGTATGATGAGGGTTCAAAAAAAAAATAATTTGTTGAATTAATGATTTGCGAAAAATCGGTCTGTAAATTTGAGGGTGTTACAAGATTCAAGTCCCTTATTAAACCAATGTGATAGTCTTTCATTAAACAGGTAGGACAATGAGTATATAAACAATCTAGGCAAGCCATCAACTCGGATAGGAGCCCTACCATGTAGATTTAATTTTCTATTCCTCTTCTTAAGCAAACTCTTGCCTTTCAAGATCATGCAATGCATATTTATGTAATAATTTATAATTAACTTATTTCATAGAACTCCACATAACCAACTTTATTGAACTCCACCATTTTACAAATTATTAAACTCTTCAAATACATTTTCATTGAACTTCAAATCAAATAAGTCATTGAACTTCAAATTTCAAAATCATCGTATCTCACACATTCACAATCATTAAACTCTATACATTTTAAAATCATCGAACTCCTAGCAACTCTAATCATTTAACTCCCAATTACACAAATCATTGCACTTTATATTTTTATAATCATTGTACCTCATTCATTAGAAATTATTGAACTTTAAAATTTCAAAATCATTGGACTATATTAAATTACCACTTCAACAGTGGGCTCTTTAAATAAAATAAGTCACATTTGCATTTTTATAAAATCTCACACAATTCAATTATTAAATATTGATTGATAAACTAATTAACATTCAAAAGTATAAGATAGAATTTTTTTAATTTTCTCAAATTTTTGAGAGGTCAAAGATTTTACTCCTCAATACTTACTCTTGAAGTTTTCAAGAAGCTTGAATGGTACTAAGGATAGTCACTTTACAAGCATTTACAATGCAACTCATTAATATCTATATTTAGGCTAATTTTTACTAATGATTCAACACTTTTTAATGTTCAAGATTCATTTTGATTCATGTAAAAATACTCATAAGGTTTCTTAGCTTCCTTTAACCATCATTAATATCATTGAGCTCTTTAGTGGTCATTAATAGAGCCATATTGTCACAAACTAACACATTTATGAGATTTTTTAGATATTTAATGCTCCTTAACCATTAATCCTCGTATAATCATAAATATCAAATTTATTTAACTCAATCTACTCCCATTAACTCCATTTAAGTTAATGGGTTCAGATCTATAGTCTATATAGACCAAAAATATCATTATCAATCAAATTCTAACTTTTACTATTAAGAAATGGAAGAAGAGAGAAAGATTTAAGTGTCTGAAGCTTACCTTTGATATTTAAGAACTCCAAAAGCTAACTTTATTTTTAAATAATTCATATGTACAAAGTACAATTTGAAACTATATTTTTATAAAGTTGTCGATAGTTATGGGTGTAAATGTAAATATTTTTGAGTCTATTCATATCTAATTTAATCAAAATTCACTTATATTTAATGAGTTATAAAACTATAATTTATATTTTTTTATATTTATTTTATATATACATTTAATATCATTTTTATTTAATATTATTGTAATTTTATATTTATATATACATTTAATATTATTTTAATTTTATGATTTTTAAACAATAAGGGCAACATTGTTCCTCTAAATATAGTTTAGAAATAAAATTATACATTAACTTATAAAAAAAAGTCCCACTAACTACAACAATGAACGTTTAAACAACGAGACAATATTACTTTAATTTAATTAATTTAAGGATGATATTATTACAATGAATAGTTTAAAAATAATATTACTTTTTTAAAAATAATTTAGGAGTAAGATTTGAAGGACAACATTGTTTCTTTAAAAATAATTTAAGAATAAAATTATATCTTAATTTTTTTATAACTACACTTTAAGATTTTAAAGAGTTATTATTATGTGTCATTTTCCTTGTTTGGTCCCAGAACCATGTGACTGTCTGGCTGTCTTGTTGGCTTGCTTCTTTCGACTCACTAGTCAAGAGGCATCTTCAGGGGCATCTGGCAGATCCCTTGCTTTCATTTAATTGCAACACTTCGCCCTTGCATCCCTTTGAGTGTATCGGTTGACTTATCATTTCCACCCCAACTCTTTTTTTCCCCCATTTTGAAAATTCTTTCTCCATAACACCACTTGTTTACACCCCATTGCTTCATCCAATTTCTCTACCATATCATATATTCCATATATTTAGAAATATGATATATTTTTTGAAGAGTTAAATATTTAAATATATAAAATATTTTTAAATATAAAAAATAAAAAAGATATAGTTAATTAAAAAATCAATAATTATTTTATTGTGAGGTAAAATTTAATTAAAAATTTTTATATTTTTAAATGGAGGGAGTGTATATATACCTTATACCTATGCATATTTATTATACATAAATTTATTGCACATGTTATAGTTTCTTATAGGGTTTGTTTTGTTTGTTTTGTTTTTTTTTTTTTATTTTACCATTGTTTCTTATAGAGTTTGTCATATGTGTTAGTTTTGATATGATGATATCTTGAAGACTAAATACGCGCATGTATGTACGCATGGCATGACGGTTGCGTGTCAAAGGAATCTTATATACAGAACAAATGCAGATAATAAAGTGTACCCATTCCATGCTTAGTATAAGAAAAATTTCAAAAGTTTTTTTTATCATCAATATAAAATAAAATTAGCATATTTTTTTTTCAATTGTATCCCTTATTTATTTATCATGATTTGAATTCACATACAACAATTTATTATAATTATTAATTGCAAGGAGAGGGCAAAATTGACAAATCATATACTTCATCCTGGCCAAAATATAAACAGATTTTAACAATATTTTTCATAAAACCTATATCCTCATAAAAATATATATTATCACTCTTGTTACCTTGAATTCAAATTCATGACAAGTGAGAAAGTTATAAATTCATAGACACAGAAAATTAAATTAATAAATACAAGAGGCAAAATAAAACAATATTTTATAAACACTAAGTTGTTTATATTCTAGGTAAAAAATATCTAAAAAATGCTTATATTTTAAAATAAATTAAATATTTTTTAAATAATTTTAAAGATATAAGTTATAACCATCATTTGTTTTAATAAGCATGAAATTAATTAAACATGACTTATTACATAGAAAGGAATATTCCCTCCATTCAAAAATATAAGGCATTTTTTAAGGAGTTAGATATTAAAAATATAAGGCATTTTTAATCTTTTGAGATATAATAATTGTCTTTTTTTTAAAGTGTCCCCATTGATAATAATTTTATATTTATTGTAAGGTGTTTAATAGGATAAATATAAAAAGATAAAGTTAATTTAAAAGCAGGTAACTAATTTATTGAAGGGTGAGATTTCATTAAAGATGTTTTATATTTTTTAAGAGAGAGAGTATAATATATGTATATCATTGCATACAAGGAACTGTCAAATTCTCTGCGATTTGTTAGATGGATGAGGCTTATCAAAATGGTGATATCAATATAAGCCAATCCGGGCAAACATTGTATTAGTTATTTCTTAATTGTTGATTGCCTTCTTTAGCAAGCTCTGATTATTAAAACAGGGTTCTCTTGACAATCAAAAGAAATAATGCCAAAAGCAAAAATGGAATAGAGGTTAGGTGACCTGTCAATCAATTACTGGTTTTAGATAGCAGGTCAACATGAAAGTTTTTTTTATTGTTCTGCCCATGATAGCGGAGCCGATATTAAGAAAATCAATGGAGGAGGAAATGCGCGTTCCATTGAATTTCAGTTGCAAAAGAAAATTTCAATACACTAGATATTTTTTCGGTTCAGAGAAAACTTCAATTCTGAATAATGATAATGACAATCCGTTGATTCAATTCGTTCAGTAGCTCAAGGCTGCTGCAAATATTCAGCTTTCCGTCGGTTGAATCTGGAAGGCACGTGATTCTCACGGACCAGCCCATATATGATATATCTCGTGTGCGCGGCATCATTAAACTGCTTTCATTTGCCTCTTCGTTTCTGCTTCTGGCGCCTTCGGGCAAGAGCTGCGAAAATCTCTCCAGAGTTCTAAGACCAGGATTCCTCCTTTTCAAGAACTCTGCGTTACTCTTGCCGCATCTTTTTCTATCTAAATGCCCAATGGCTTCTTTGTTCGGATAACCGACTCGGGAATTGCTTGCTGAAATCCGGTGAGTTTCTTCTCCTCGCCGCATGGACGCATTATGCTCCCTCTCATTGTGTGGTGTTTCCAATTCTTTTCGTGAAGCGTTTCTTGTGTTTGATTTGATTTAGATATCATGTGGAGGTTTATTCTGAAGGAATTCATAGGAGGGAATGAAAGAGAGAGAAATGTAAAAATGTATTTCCGAGCTCTGTGGATTACTTATCCTGGTCATTTTTCTATATTATTTATTTGTTAATTAGTTATTCTAGTTCTCGTTACTTTGGTTCCCATGCAGAGGAGAAGGGAATGGTTTCACAGGTCCATAACTTTATCTGCTGAAACTTGAATATTTGAGGATCTGGGAATTTTTCTGATGCTGATTAGCCTATATACCCATATTTAATCTTTCATATTGGTAGTTTTTTTTTTTTTGGGTAACTGGAAAAAAAATCCGACTTGAAAGTCAAGTTTTTATCTGCTTTTATTAATTTATTATTTGGCTTTGGTGCGGAAGTGGTTCTCACTTCCTTTATTCCCCCCTTACTCCATGTTGTTTCGTAGTTAGGCTCCTTCTTGAGTCTTGAATGACTTCGCGAATTTGGTCCTTTTGGGCCCATATCCATCCTTTCGCAATCATTAATTTTTATTCTGGCATTCTCCTGTGGAGTTCTGTATGCATTATTATCCCTTTTCTACGCCTTTTCTGTGTTTAATTTTTTTTAAAGTCTCTCTGTATCGCGTTATTTTTTAGCTAAGACCGTTTGCAATCATGAGATTGATTTATATACTATTTATTTCACGTTCTCGTATTTGAATTTGAATTTCATATTGCAAGATTAAGCTGCTTTTGATTATTTCCTTTAGCAAAGCCCGCTAGTCAGTTTCTGTGCTGCCTGCACATCATCCAAAAATGGGCTGTTTCTACTCTAAGACAGGAAGTAAGAGAAAGTTCCCTATGGGAGAGGACCCTTTGGTTCTTGCATCAGAGACAGCCTGTAAGTCGATAAAGCTTTTTGGTAGAATCATTCAATGCTATATTAATTGCGGAATGATTATACTAGATTTGCTGATACTGCTTGAGTTATAAAGGCTGAAGTTAATCCGCTTCCAAGCTGCATGTTATGGATATACTCTTCTTCCAGCTGAAGGAATTTTAAAAATCATAATGATAATTACAATATTTATTAGGTCTCTCAATCACTCAAAGTTTTCTTGATGTTACAAGTATAATTCTAAACAGAGCTTATCCAAAAGATTAACTTAGAAAGAACTCATGCCAAAAGATTAATCCATTATATGAGAAAAACTGTTAAGCTTACAAGCCCCACTAGCCCACTTTTTGAAGGTCTCTCCAATATTGGACTCATGACACTCGCCAGAGAATTTTTGGCACGAGGCTTTTTTTTCCCACGCAATTGCACACAAAAGTGTCCATCTCGGGCATTCTGAATTTCAATGAGCAATCTTTAACTAACCAAGGAAGAAAAGGGAGACATGTTGGGTCACTGTCTCTTTCCCTAATTAAGGAATGTTACAACAATGCCTGAGTTATTTATTTTTGTTGAAAAAATTTACTTTATCCACATTTATGTGAAGCATATTTGTGATAAGATGCCTGTCTCTGTGTGTGTGGGGGGGAAGTACATGTTAACTTTGTAACTTAAAATGTGTGTCATTGTTTGGTTTCCCAGTCAGTGTTAGTGAGGTTGAAGCACTGTTTGAGCTTTTTAAGAGCATCAGCAGTTCAGTCGTTGATGATGGATTAATCAGCAAGGTACCGTATTGCATATGCTTTTTTTACCAACAATCATCCATTAAGTTTGTATTACTAGTTTGAGTTATTTTTAATCCCCCTTTCTTTCCTTTTGCATGCGTATTTTGTTAGAAGAATTTTGGTCATTAACTTGCTTGCAGTTTAACTTCTTAGACTCCTTAGGTTAATGTAGTATGCTATGGTTTCTGAGTCATAGGATGAAATTGGTTATAATGTACTTGTGATGCTAATTGACATGAACGATCTACAATATATTGCCATTTCTGTTTTCAGTCGTCTTTTAAATCTTTTTGTTTGTAGCTTAATTGATGGTTTCTTATTAACTTTGTTGTGACTGTTTCTTGTTCTTCAAACATTACAATATAGTTTCAAGTTGTAATTATCGTTCTTCTTGCTCTGCAGGAGGAGCTTCACTTGGCAATTTTCAACAACAAAAAGAAGGATAACCTCTTTGCTAGCCGAGTATGAGAACATCCTTTAGCATTCTTAAGAACATTGCTGCAATAGTTATGGTTGCTTGCAAGCATGTGTATGGCCGTAGACAGATCAAAATGCACTCTTTGGATCAGTGACGTGTAATTCTACTAGTTAATTGAGAAATTTGCACTTTCACTATATGCCTCTGAAGAAAACTCCAATATGTTAAGCATTCCTCAGGCCTGTGAAATAATTGTTGTGAACCAACTAGCATTTGATTGGCCGGCTCCATTAGGAGTTAGGTGTTGAATTTAGATACGCAGGTTATCATTCATTTGTACTTGTGAGTGGAAAATATTGCCTCTTTTCTTATTTCGAAGTGAAATATTTATTTATGTATTTAGCTTCTGGTGAATTTTTTCATTTACATATGGCTGTTAATTCTTATTCTATTTTGATAATATGTCATGCAACTTCTTGTTTCTCCATGAATTTGCTTTTTTATTACTTGGATCTTTGGATCTATATTAATATTATCCTCATTCTGCATGCAGATCTTTGATATGTTTGATGTTAAGCAGAAGGGAGCCATTGACTTTGGCGATTTTGTTAGATCCCTCAGTGTCTTCCACCCTAAAGCATCACAAGAAGACAAGATAGATTGTAAGTTGAAGATCAATTCCTTAAATTTAGATTTGTGGATCATCCTCTATCATATGTTGTGATCTGGGTGTACTGATAGGTTATGTTTGGGATTTGATTGCAGTTTCGTTTAGGCTTTATGATTTGCATAATACAGGTTTTATTGAGCGCCAAGAGGTAAGTGAGATCCGAATATATTTTTTCCAGCAATGGCTTTCTTATTCTCCAGATTGATAAGCACCAAGTCTCTTTCTATACATGTGCCTACTAATCTCATGAAGCGTCTTCATTTCACATTTGGGTTTGCGGCAGGTCAAAAAAATGTTAATTGCTCTTCTTTCAGAGTCCGAAATGAAGTTGGCCGACGATGCGTTAGAAAAAATCCTTGATAAGGTGAGCCGTGCTTTTTCAAATCCTAGATGACATAAAACATGTATATCAGCAGTCAAACAAAAAGAAGTCTTATTATATTGGGTGGAGCTGCCTACATAAAAGATAATTAACCCGCCGACTGTGGGGATCGAACCCACGACCACGTGGTTAAAAGCCACGCGCTCTACCACTGAGCTAAGTCGGCTTGTAGTGTATTAGTTGTGAAAGAAATTGAAAATTAATCAATTTTATCAAAAGTATAGGTAATCAATTGAATTTGTATGTATACCGAAAAAAAAAAGAAAAAGAAATAGAAATACGAGATCGAATTGCTGTAAACTTCTTCTCCTTCTAGCAGTAAACATCACAATAATGAAGGTTAAAACTTGACATTCTGTTCTTGTGATCAGACTTTCTTGGATGCTGATATAAATCAAGATGGAAAAATAGACAAGTTCGAATGGAAAAACTTAGTTACTAAGAATCCATCGTTACTAAAAGTCATGACCCTACCCTACCTGAGGTATGTCTGCGTGTAATGTGGTTTATACTAAAGTTATTTGAACAACTTTCGGTTTCGCTCATATCGTGTAATTGTGAAATCAATGCAGGGACATAACAACCACCTTCCCAAGCTTTGTTTTTCATTCCAAGGTCGACGAAATTACAAAGTGAGAACATATCTATTTAGTATATGCAGTTAGGACTTAGGAGCTATATTAGGTGTAGTTTTGTCTTCCAAGAGATGTTTAAGGTCACTGCGGTGTAGTGATAAAGATGTAAAGTATCACTTAGAGGACTTTGATTGGAATCCCCCTTCCGTGGTGCGCCAGATTTATTTTTGAAGAGGGATGAAGTAATTTTGCCTTGCACGGTTTATTGTATTTGTATAGTGTGCTGTAACTGTCTAAATGATGCTTCCCTTAGATAAAATTGGTAAACATGTTCAAAGAGTGCATAAATAAGAAGAAAGGCCTACTTTACTCTTTCCTGAAAACTAGAAATCTCAACTTCATTATTTGTTAAATTGAACACATTTGCCGGGAAAAAAAACAGAAATTAAATGGAAGTTTCCTTTTCATTATTTGAACCTCTGAAATCAGAATTTTGCAAATATCTCTGTATTAAAAGAAATACTTTCTATAGTCTTGTTTATCAGAAATAAATGATAGTTAAAATTAAAATTGGTAGTAATTTCATAAAGAAGAATGGAGTTAACCAGAAGTTGAAAACAAACGAAATTAACTTCAAACATGCTCGCTCGCTGATATATATATATATATATATATATATATTTTCTCTCTAGACTATATCTAAATTTGTAAATTTCGTAACTTGTGATTAACTTACATAAAAAAAAAAAAAACCCTGTCAGTCAGTCCGTAAAACATGTCTTTTAACAAATTTTTCAAAAACTAGGTTGGTATTAAAAATATCTTTTTCTTTAACAGAAAATAAGGTTCAAGAACTAAGTTAATATTAAGGTAGGAAAAGGAAATTAAGCGTAATTAAATGAGTATGACATAGATGATAGCAATTTAAATCTTTTAAACATCATTTCAAAGTTTAATTCTTAAAAATATGTATAGAAAGGTATTTTTTAAAAGAAGACAACTCGTTTAATGACTATCAGGTTACTTGAGAAATTAGCTTTACAATTGTTGAGTATGAAGATAACTTGAGAGAAAAAAAGGGAGAATACGAGTAAAGTTTGACCTGAACGTGAAAAGTATATCTTTTTAATGATTAAATTTGCTACTTGTTATTCATAGTTTTTATATTTTAATGAAAAGTCAATTATATGTTTTTAAATGAATTTTTAATTAAAAAACGTCGTAAAAGGCAACTTTTTTTCTGCAGTAACAAACCAATAATTCACAACTAAGGGAATGGCCAGTGATCCAACCCCCGTGTAGGATTGCCTCCAACCGTCCAACGGTAGCAAGCAAAAATAAAATAAGGGAATATGAATTGTCATTTTCCCAAATAAAAATCCACAGTTGAGAAGTGAGAACTCTATAGCCTTCGAATGTTATTATGGCCATCGCCCATCGGCATCGTCTAGCCTATTGCCACCCAAAGAAATTGGCTTGAATGAAAACTCAAGTCAGAGACGCAGAGCACTGGTATCGGTGACCGATCTGATCCGAGCACAACTCCTTGTGACGTCCATCATTGGTAAATCTCCCAAGCACGAAACTGTGAACTGTCACTGGGCTGGTTCGACCTTCGTAGTCTTCCCTCCTTCTTCAGCATTGGAAACGGCGAGAGCACGTTGGAAATCAGAGGCTAACAAGGATTTGTCTAGTTGAATCCCTCACGCGGTAAGCTTTCCGTCATTCCGTGTGAATTTTTTTTGGTTAAACTGAAAGTGGTGTTTTTTTAAGTGAGTAGCCGTATCCCAACCGTATCTGAATATGTATTGTCTTTAAATAAATACTGATAATAATTTTGATACGCCGGAATATGTCTCCTGGTGCATTCGACACGGATTATTGGGTTTTTTCTTTTTGCACGACTCGGTGCTTTTGGTGTTTGATAACCGAACGTCTTTTGGGTGCATTTGAATGCTCAATATAAATACCGAGGTATTGGGATGGTGTTTGGTTTCACCAAAGAAATTTTATCACTTAATCACTGCATTAAGTGCTGTTTGCTTAGAAAGGCCTCTGCCCTTCGGAGGACTGCCTTGACGTCAAACGTTTGTGAATATGTCTGCAATTTTCAACTTCGAGGGTCTCAGGTGTCATATATTTACTGCATACAGTTCAGTCGCGCTCTGCAAAATTCTTCCACTTGTAACCCCTGCGAAAGATTACCTTGGGAAGGTTCCTCTCATGAAATTCTGTTGACGAAGCTTGAAAGTTCTTTGAATAATCATCAAGTTCAAGAGGCATGGGAATACTTTCATGATTTTAAAAGCCTTTATGGCTTTCCTGCGGGTTTTCTAGTGAATCAGCTGGTTGTTCAATTATCTTACACATCTAATCATGTGTGGTTACGAAAAGCATGTGTCCTGGCCTTGCAAATTGTCAAAGAGAAGTCAAACTTCCTTCAGTCTGATACCTTAACTAAACTTTCTCTCTCTCTAGCAAGGCTGCAAATGCCAGTCCCTGCCTCAATGATTCTGAGGGTGATGCTGGAGTCCAAGTGTGTACCCCCTATGAATTTATTGTCATTGATTTTTTTGCATATGGTCAAGACAGAAATTGGAGCACACATCGCATCCAATTATCTGGTTCAAGTTTCTGGTTGTTTTAAATCCTTAAATGAGAAAAAAGTTCACGAGGCAGTGCTGGTCAAACCGACTACAGTGATCTTTAACCTTGTGCTTGATGCTTGTGTGAGATTCAAATTATCATTGAAAGGTCAATGCATCATGGATTTAATGCCAGTGACTGGCACAGTGGCCAATGCACACTCAATTGTCATTATCTCACAGATACTAGAGATGAATGGTTTGAGAGATGAAATGAAGGAATTAGGGAGCCATATTGATGGAGTATCAACTCCTTACCTTCCTCATTATCGTCCTTTCTATGATAGCTTGCTGAACTTGCACTTCAAATTTAATGACATTGATGCTGCTGCTGAGCTTGTTTTGGGTATGAATAAACAACATGGTTGTGGTGTTAATAAGGAGGATAGGAAACACGTGCAAAAGCCTTTCCTTGTTGCAATTGGATCTCATCACCTCAAGAATGGATTGAAGATACAGTTTGATTCTGAGCTGCTGCAGAAGGATACTGTCCTTAAAGTGGAAGGCAGACAACATCTTATCTTTTATAGGGAAGGAAAACTTGTCCTTAGTAACAGGGCTCTTGCCAAGTTCATTAGTCGGTACAAGAAAGATGGGAGGATTAGTGAACTGACAAAACTTTTGTTGAGCATTCAAGTAAATATGTGTTCATTAGCAGGATCTAGCTTATGTTCTGATGTGATTGGTGCTTGCATTCAGTTCGGCTGGCTTGAATCTGCCCATGATATTATGGATGACATGGAAGCCTATGGGTGTAGAATGGGCTTAGATGCATACATGTATCTTCTGTCAGCATATTACAAAAGAAAAATGCATAGAGAAGCAAAGGCTCTAATAAAACAAATGAAAAGGGCAGGTTTTGATGAAAACTTATCTGATGACACTATTAACAAACTTGTTCTCGACACAGAAGCATCATATTCATTTGTTTTGTCAGATTTAGCAGTCACTTTGGGTGAAGTATTGAAAGATGAAGAGATGTTTTCCCCTACAGTGTATGAGCTTAATTCTTGTATCTACTTTTTTAGCAGGGCAAGAATGATTGAAGATGTGTTGAAGGCATATAGAAGATTAAAAGAAAAAAATATTCAGCCCACAGTCCAAACATTTGCTTATATGTTATATGGATATTCATCCCTGGGTATGTACCGTGAAATCACAATTTTATGGGGAGACATTAAGAGATTCATGAGTAACGGCAGTTTAAAGCCAAATAGAGATCTGTATGAGTTACTACTGCTAAATTTCATTCAAGGTGGTTATTTTGAGAGAGTGATGGAGGTCATTGGACATATGAGAGACCAAAACATGTACACTGATAAGTGGATGTACAAAAGTAATTTCCTAAGAATTCATAGGAATCTTTATAGGAGTTTAAAAGCATCGGATGCTAAAACAGAAGCACAAAGCAAAAGATTTGAGTATGTTCAGGCTTTTAGGAAGTGGGTGGGTATTGATTAAACATCTCGAGTAATGTTTATGAATTGATGCATCCGCATAATTTCCTGCTAACCCTTGGTGTCTTATCACAGTCAATGTTATTTACTGAGGCATATTTGTGATCTATCAGTGTTAGTTCTGTTTCAACTCCAGTGTTCTTGGAAAATGGGAGTGAAGTATATGAGAACGAGTTTCTCCAATACTGATGGTGTAACATCTCAATACAATGTAAATGGATTTGAATGATTTTCAGATTCTGATAAATAGTGGAATCGATTCACTGATGTCATGCTATCCTTTGGTGAAATATGGCACGCTGCTGTCTTCTGTTATGAAAGGATGTAGCAGTAATCCGTTCTCACTATTTGCCACGGAATTGTAGGATATCTGGCAAATACACCTTTTCCATTCACTCATTTAAGCTTGATGATGCCTAAACAGCTCCTCTTTATGTCCCACAAGAAAATTTTATTTGACTGTAAATTGAACGGATCTATAAGTGTGGCTTTTATTTTGTAGTAGAATAACTGTCCCATATTCTATATGTATTGGATATTGCTGTCGAGCTCATCTAAGCTACACAATTTGGGCACTATGCCTTCCAAAAGTAATTTGAACATTGTATGGCTTTCCACGTTCATGCGTCTGGTTTGGGAGATTAATTAATAATAATTTCTCTCTCTCTCTTTGTCTTTACTAGCTCAGAATCGGGGACACTTCTGAATCAATGTGGGGAACGGGAACCATTTAGTATAAGATCAAGTGGAATGTGTGTTTTATTTTATGAAAGCTCGTATTAAACATGAGAATTCTTGTTCCCAAGGTCTTATTTGTTAACTTTAGATCATGAGAGATGTCCTGCCCCCTTCAAATGTAACAAAATTTGCCATTACTGATAATTTTTTCTTTAGCCGTCCAGTGGATCCCTTTATATTCATCAGGACTGTTTTAATCCTTCAAGAATTCGAGCACTGCTCTACTCTGTGGTCGAAAAATTCTTAAACTCCTGTTGGATTAAATGTGGAAAGGAATCTGTTAAATATTTTCTGTAATAAGGCAAGTTTTTTTAGCATATTAAATTTCTTCGCTTCATTTTGTTTTCAGCATCCTTCGTTTCAAAATTATCATTAAAACAAGTGACTACCCATGTGCTCTAAGGGCCAAAGGCCTACTGCTAGGAAAATATTTCTATGAAGTCATCTTAGCTCGCTTATGGAGTCAATTAACTCCAATTCACTGACCTACAGAAATGCAGTTTTCAACTTTTTTAAATGAACGACTGCTCTAAATCCCCAGTATGATAGCATGGTCATTTATGCAGTTCATGTTACCGTTGGTTCTATTATTCGTGGATCGAAAATGGAGTTGGCTTGGGGCGCTATTGAGAATGGTTGTCCTCATTGCTTCGCTTTCCTTTTTTAAATTTTGATTGGTTAAGCCGTATAATGAGTATGCTTTGGAATCAGATGTTATTGGGGATATTGTTTTGAGAGCCTTGCCACTGAAGATCCTAGAAGGTCTGATGGAGAGGGGATACATTATGTCGATGCCAATGTTGAATATTGTTATGTGATCTAAACAAAAGTAGGGGCTCACCGCATCTTGATGGGTGCTGGGATGGCTTGTTGTGACTCAACTGATGATGGAAGGAGATTTTATGTTGAACTAAAAACAAGTCGTGAGGTTGACAAAGTCTCAGCTTCTTTGCATCTTACTTCCATCCCATTACTTCTGGTTTCTTGTTATAGTCATGATATAGGCTCTTAACAACATGTCATCTTCAATGATGCATACAGCGACAACAACAAGCCTTATCCCACTAGGTGGGGTCAGCTATATGGATTATATGATGCTATTGTGCTATCTTCAACGATGCATACTGAGGAAAAAATGAGGGAAAAACTGCTCAAGTTTTGGGTAAAGTTTATCCTATCTTATGCTATGAATTAATATACTTTCTGCTTAAGTATTTTTATTGTATCTGTTTTAGTTGTGTCCATCTTGAGTTAGATGTTTGTTCAGTTGTTGGAGAATTGAGCTTTATATTTTGGAGATTAGCTTATATTTGTTTTAAGAATTTTCTGTTTTTTTTTTTTTTTAAACGCTGTCTTCAGGATAATTCTACCATGAGATCAGGTGGTCCTTTTTTAAAAATTGTGAGTTCATTGAATTTATTCTTTAGCAAGACCTCTATTCTTGATTTTTGCAGATTCAGTCATGTTCGGAAGGAGTTCCATATATTGTCATAGGATTTAGGTAATTGTGATCATCGTACCATTAGAATTTATTTGTTCTTGCACAAGCTTTCGTATGATTAATGGAGCTTATTATAGCTTGAACTGCATAGCAAGTAGCAACTTGTTCATCAGATGGGACATTCTCCATCAAGCATCTATTGCAAATGTGAAAGCTTGCTATTGACAGTTTGACTTGGTGTTTATCCTAAAAATATTTTGGTTGCAATGAAGAGATGATTCTGATTGTCTTTTTCAGACGGAAAGATTAAGATGTAAGAACCAAAGAAATCACTTAACAACAACAACAAAAATTATTGGAGTTATTACTTGTCGACGCTTTTGGTTTTTACTCATAATATATACATCAAAGATAAGGACCTTGTATTATATTGTAATGGCATCCCCATGAATCATGTTACAATTTTTACAAAGTCTTCTATTCGCGTTTCCTACCAAAAAGAAATCAATCTGTGACCTTGAAACTCCGCTTTTATAAGTGATGAGTTGCCCATCCCTCTTCTTGAAATAGGTATTAGCAATCTTGAAATCATATGCCAAGTAGAAATCCAAGATATGTTGTCCTTTATTATTTAGTTTCCCAAAACCCAAACCACCATACACCCTTGTATAATGACTTGCCTCCCTCCCGACATGTCTATTAAAATCTCCTCCAATAAAGATCTTTTCATGATGTGGTATGCTTTCAATCAACCCCTCTAAGTCTTCCCAAAATAATTTTTTAAGACTGGCTTCTATTCCAACTTGAGGTGCATAAGCGCTAATAATATTGATAGTCTTAACTGCTACAAGACACATGTTGCTAATCTTTGCTTTGCTTGGTGATTGCAATGATGAACCTGCTATTAGTGGAAGCTCCCACTTCTCTCTCCTGTCGGCTCCAGACTTCATAGCCAAAGGCAAAGATGTTCACATAGTCTTTTTTGTTCTGAGGCATGAAGGGTTATATATGGACAAAAATATGTTCATACGTGCTAATCAATCATCACTTAATCTTAGGATTGGTTTAAGTTGCCTCAGAAAAGGAACTAGAAAATCATAAAAGCTAGACTCTCAACAAATGTTTAACATGACTTTTTACCTGATGTTAACAAAACTTGTCGGCAGGGAGGAGTCTGCTTGGCGTTTGCAGACGAAGTTTTATGCTGGCTTTATGGAATAGTCAAGGAGAGTGAGTATTATTGAACCATTCAGTCTTTTTCAGCGAGCTGATAAAAAAGGAACATGAAGAAATCTTGCAAATTGAAACTTAAGTCCCAAATCTATTCGTTTGGTGTGTATAAGTTAGTAATTGACAAGCACATGCCTAGTTTTCAGATGAAGATTGCATATTGCAGCTTGCTCAACCTTTCACCCGTTTGGAGCTTTTACAGGCCCAGTCTTGTCTAGATGCAATTACTAGTCAGTCATCTTGAGCTGCTGTGAAGAATTAGAGACCTTTACAGCTGTTTATACAATTCAATCTGACAAGTAACAGGAATCTTCCCCTTAGCTTGAATCGGTTCATGGTTGTTTTGATACTTGATGGAAATCCTTGAACAGGAGTGAGCTGATTTTGTTAATGAAGAGGAAATTACACTGGGTTATAATCTTATACTACTTTTGGGTTGAATGATTTGTGATGGAAAATGTCTGTGAATTACTATTAACCATTTTGATTCATAGTTGGGCGGCGGGCGCCCCTCTGGGAAATTTCCTGATGTGTCTGTAATTCTTGTGACTTTTGGCCGACAGAATATAGACCTAATGATGAAAATATTAGGCAGAATGCAAAGAAATTGTGCTCCTGACATTCAATGAGTGTTCCAATGAGTGTAGCTCGATATCTACGAAGAAGTTGACGCTTGCGAGAAAATTTTTTTAAGGATTTATAATAATCTATTTATATATTCTAATTAGAACCAAAAATAAAAGTCAAGCTTAAAGACACTGTTTTAAAAACCAGATCGAACCGGACGGTCAAACAATCGATCGGTTTGGTTTCCGGTGTGGTTCATAAGAAAAAACCATTTTAAGAGTCGAGACGTTTCGAACCGGCGGTTAGAAAAGGAACCAAAATCAAGCCAGAATCGGATCCGGTTTTCAAAAACTGAATTATTCAAAAAATAACTTTTTATCAAATTTTTTTAAAAAAATGACTAATTTTTTTAATCATTTAATATTATGTTATATCATATGGCTTGTTAAGTTATGATAAATTTAAAATATTTGATTTTTTCAAGTTAAATAGTAATTTCATATGTATTTTTTATATTTAAATTATTATATATATATATATATATAATTTTTTTTATTTAATTATTACGTCACCGGTTGGACCATGCAAACCGTGAACCGCTGACTTTTCCTGTTCAATGTTCGGTCTGGTCCTGAAAATATTGCTTAAAAGCCTTTTTTAAATAAGAGTTCGGACTTTAAAAATAATTTTTTTTAAGTAACCAAACTTGAAAGCCTGACTCTAATAAGCTTTGTCAAATAAGGCTTAGGCCTAAGTGACCCTTTAAATCCTATTATATTATTATTAATTTTTTTTTGGTGGAACACACATTTAAAGTCAAAGACCTGCTAGACCTGATTCTACATGTATTATATTATTACTAATTTTAACTTATTTTAAAATTAATTTAATATAATTTAATAAATATTAGTGTATATTATAAATTTTATGATATTTTTATCTTTCTAGAATTATTATGTTTGTGTTTTTTTAAAAAAAATAAACTGTTTTTTAACCAAAATTTAAATTTTATTATTAAACTTCTAAATGTGTATTGTTTAATTTCTAAAAGATTATGATGATTTTAATTTTTTTAATTTTAAAATATTTTAATTAATTTATAGTGCTTAATTCTATTTAAATTTTTTTTAAAACAAGTCTTGTGGGCTAGGCTCTGAACCCTTCAAATAAAGAGCGGGCCTCAAAAAAGGAGAAAAAAAATGAAAAATCAAGTTTAAGGGTTTAGGCCCCTATGAGGTGAGTCCAACCATTTTTTAAGTCTAATCCCTATAACTTTGTAAGCACCTAAATCTTGATCAATAAAATGCTATAATTGACAACGTATTAGAAAATTCATGTTTAGATGCTATATATGGTTCAGTAGAAAATTATGAAGAAACAAATTTAGGCCTCGTTTGGTTATTAAAAAAATAGAATGGAATGATTTAAAAAAGTAAAAATAAAAATAAAATGATCAAAAGAGATGGTGAATCACGTTAATAAAAGGAGAAGATAATTTAATTCATAGAGTTGGGAATCATGATTTATGAGATTTTTAGAGGGTATAATGATTTTTACATTTGTAATATAAATAAATTTTATCATGCTTATCATAAAAAAAAAGATAATTTAATTTATTTTTATATTAATTTTTTTAATCTATTCTATTTTATTTATTTCTAATAATCAAACTAGTAATCAAACGAGATTATAAGATTAACACATTTCTTTGGCTACAAGAACAGCTTTGTAGATGGCAATTTACGTCTTCCCCTTTGAGTTTTTTTAGCTGATCTTGCTCCGTTCGAGATCCCTGCGTCACGTATAGATGGCAACCCTCCTGGATTAGTGCATCTGTGTGTTAAAGAGATAAGTTCAAGTTAATGTTATCAAGGCGATCAAATAAATAAATATCTTAATGGTTAAACCTCAAAATCAAATTTGAACAACCCAATCTTAAAAATTAAGGGGAAGAGGGTGGATCAGCATGATGGCCTTATGGGAGGAGATAGACAATTCTTGCAATAATCTCCAGAATTTAAGATTTTTGTTTTGTTTTAAAAATTTTAAGAAGTTTTAGTATCTGTTTAGGCTTGGTTGAGCTTGGGCCCTCTTAAATGTTCATAGGCTCAAATGTATGTAGAATGGGCCAACTTTTCATGAGACGTACAAAAAAAGGTCCGCAACAAAATGCGTATAAGATAATTCAGTTTCCAAACACGACGTCCGGAAGGATGCGATGCACCGACCTGGGCTAAAATAGCGAATTGATGTACAGGAAAGGAGGAGACGAAGACGAGGTAAGAAACGCAAAGAGAAGTGCGAGATGGAGGAGAAGACGAATCCAGGAATAAGCAGCGATGCAATGGAGAGCATTTCGGAGAGGTTATCGTCTTTGGAGAACCTTTACTTCCCTCGTGCTCTGCAATCAACTGCCACCGACCCTTCTCAGCGGAAGGCCATCTTTCTCGACCTTCTCTCTCGAGACGTCGCCCTTTTCTTAGGTAATTTCTCTTTCTTTTCGCTCTTTGTTTTTATAATCTTCTTCCCGGGCATATAGTTGCAGTTGTGAGATGCTCAATTCAAGTATTCTAGTTAGCCGAAGCCAAGTAGTTTAAACGACAGTCAGCTAAAACATTTGCATGAACCATTTTCGATTGATGGCTTAATGTGCCGGAAGTTTTACTGCTTCTTTTTTTTTTTATTTAGTCTTTTCTTTTGGCTTGAATCTTGTGTAGAACGGTATGGGTCTCAACTTACAAGTAATGAACTGCACGAGTTTGATGCGCTGAAAGGCGACTATGAAATCAATTGGCATTTGAAGCGTCTTTGGAGCATAATGAGCCCAACATCGGAGGAGTTGAGGATGAGGTCAGTGACAGTGAAGAACCGAAGGCGGGCTTACTTGGATAAATTGATGTGCGATGGGAACTACTTCTCGGAAGATGCAATGAGGGAGAGAGAGCCATATCTTCATCACGAGTATGTGGGGAGATTTCAGGACCAAAGTGGCAGAGGCATGGCAAGGCCTGGAGAACGTTGGTCGGAGACTTTGATGAGGAGGTCAGAGGAAGCATTCCTTGTTGCAAAAATTAGAGGGGAACAGCAGAGGTTAGGTGTGGCTGAAAGGGACTGGATTGGTAATGAGAGTATTCAGCAGGAGGAGGAGGAGGAGGAGGATGAAGAAGTGAGAAAAGCTACTAGTGATGGACATCCTACGGCGGTAAGACACTGAACTTGCTCTCGCTTGCATTCTTTTTTGATTGATTTAATAACCAATTGGGTTTTTTATGCTTTCATTGTTTAAGGAATCTCGATAAGTATTGAAATTTCTGTCTTCTGGACATGTTAGTCAGAACTCACGACACAATCCACCTCTACTTGGTTCAATCTTGACTGCCTTGTATTTTTATGCTTTTCCACTTCCTTATGTATTATGTCATTGGTATCCACTGTGAATTTTCATCTATATTTGGCCCTGAGTGGAGCTGTATACTGTTGCAGCGGATATGGATAAATTGATAATATAAGATGGTATGTGGATATCCAAAACATTATTTCTAGTCGTTGCTTGTACTTAATGAAATGCTAATATACGATGAGTTTGACACTCCACACATGAAGGTTACTTAGTGCTGAATGTTTTGTTGTATCAAAAAGGATGCTGAATGTTTTGTTGTCTTTCTTGAGAAAAGTTGTTTGATTCCTCATCAAATGTGATTATCTTGCTTAAGCTTATGTTAATTTCCATTAATGGATAATGTGAATTGCCTATGTTGATAGTAAGTTTGATATGTGAAAATAGGATTTAATGTCTGATGGCTTTGGACCTCTATTTTGCGGGAGATTGTGGTGTTAAAGTGGATAATAAGTGTGTTTTGAATTTAATGAATATAATCTTTGCTGTCACTTGCAGACGCACTTAAATCGCCCAGATGATCCATCCGACCAAACAAGGGAGAATGAGGAATCATCTTTATCTCCAGAAGAAATACAAGATCGTTTGAATCAATTCACCTACATAATGCAGCAGAAGTTTTTGTTGGGAGAAGATCAGGAACATTTAGATTACTCCAGGATAGACAATGATGAGACCCTTGATGATCATTGGCAGAAGGAAGCTAACGTTGATGCAGAGGAGAAGTATTTCGCTGATGATTAGACTGGTAATCAGATGTGCAGACATTGCATGTATTTCATTCAACAGATCGTTACTTTTCACCGAGGACACCAACCAGATGTTGAAGTTGTTTTCCAGGACATCCCTCCTTCTGAGTAGAGATATTCTCCTTGATGAGTTCTGTTTTGAGCGGCATCAACAAGATGTCGATGCTAGCTAGCCTTTCACGTTTTTCGTGGTCTTTTTGTTTTGAAAAAATCACTAATATGGTTTATATGTGTAATTATAAAGGTAATATTATTAAGTGGAAAATGGATGTCATCAGTCTCAGTTTGATGGTGGTGGTTTATTATGTTTCCTTCCATGAGAGACACTGCAATTCTACAATACATAGCAGAACCTCTCCCTATTTTAGATATTTTCTTCCGGTAATGCCATGTAAAATTATAATCTTTTTCACATTTAAAAAAGCAAGCTTATATAGGATATTTAAAGAAAGATAGAGAGGAAAAGGATTACAAAATATACAAATAAGATGACAGATTTTATAAGCTTAAACAACCCCGCCCCCAAAAAAAAGGGCCAACACACACAAGTAAAGTGTAATGTTTGGTCTTTAATTTTTTTAAATTATTAATTTAGTTTCTAAATTTTTATTCAAGTTGACTTAATTTTTATAGTTTTTTTCCACACAGGACAGAAATTATATTTACTCAATGAATCACTGCATTTGTCTGGATATATCTGCAAGACATCAAAATTTTTTTCCCCCGAATGTGGATGAAATTGGGAAGAAGAAATGGAATAGAAATTTTGATAAAAAGTAGTTATTACGAAATAGTTATTATTAAATATAATGAATATTATATATTTCAGTTTTTTAAAAAATAAAAAATATGAAAAATACTATTTTAGGCTCTTATATTGTGCTGAAATTTTATTATAAATCCTTACACTTTTTTGGATGTTTCAAGTTTTTATATTTTTCTTCCTCTATAACATTGGTTTTTATAATTTTAGAGGAATATTAATATGGCACAAACAATATTAAGATTGATAATGCTTCCATTGACATGGCTAAGTTTGTGCTGATATATTAAATGAGTATTGAGTTGGACTTTTTATAAGCATAATAAATTAAACAATTTATATCAAATAAAAACAGGATGACATGGAGTTAAAAAAAAACTCTCAACTTCATATATATATATATATATATATATATATATAATATCTCAAAAAAATTTAAAATATATTTTAATCTTGATTTTTAAACTTTAAGACAGGAAAAAATTTTAAAGAAAATTTAGTCTTCTACATTTTTTTAAATATTTCAAAAAAATTAATTTTTTAAAAATCAGTTTCTATTTTAAAAATTAATTATTTTTGTATTGTAAAAATATCAAATATATTTTTGGGATACTTGAAAGATTTAGAAGACTCAATTTTTTTTTGTTTAAAAATCAAGATTAAAAACATTTTAAATATTCTTCAAGATATTTTAAATTGAGAGATTTTTTTTAACTTCAAGTCAGCCTTTTTTTTATCTTATATAGCATTTTTTTTAAATTTATTTTGCTCATTAAAAGTCTAACTCAACATCCGTTAAATATATCAGCACAAACTTAATAATGTAATGGACATGTTAGCAATCTTAATACTATTTGTACCACATCAACATCCATATAAAACTACAAGGGTAAAAGTTGTAGGAGGAAAAAAATTATCGAGAGTTGAAATACCCAAAAAAATACAATAACCTATAATAAAATTTAAGTAAAATATGAGAATCAAACATAATGTTTTCCCAAAAAATAAAATGAAGCTTTCTTTTCTTTAGTGTAGTGCTATAGAATCTTCTATCTCAACTTCAATATGGATTTTTATTCACTGATTCTCTAATGTAAATTTGAACAATTCAAATTAAACATATATTTTTAAAAATTATCAAATCTAAATTATTAAATTTAATTTAACAGTCCAAATTTACAATGTTTTTTTTTATTGTAAAAAAGGAAAGCCAAGTCCATCTCAACCCCCCCCCCCTAGCTTCTTTCATTGCATGTCGACATTGTTCATGGAAGTATTCTTTTGAGTTTTGAATGAGATTCTTGGTAGGTAGCCTTACTCACGGGGATGGCATCATATAATAAAGTATTGAGAAAATGATAATTAGAGACCTCATAAAAATGTTAATAATAATTATAAATCTTAAATTATTAAAATTTCAATAACAAATTATAGTACTTACTTGCAATTTAAAAAATATGAATAGTCAGTTAAAAAATATACTAAAGACACTTAAATTATTTGTAACATCAGTCGGAAATTTATGGGAGTCAATTGTGAATCTTGATTTTTTACTTTTAATATACAAATAAATCACTTAAAAAATCAAATAAATACACTTGAAATTGTTTGTAACATTAGTTGAAAATTTATGAGATTCAGTATTAAATCGCAAGTCAATCACTTATAATTTTTTGCTATCACTTGTGAAATCTATAAAAAATAGTTGAAAATTTTTGCAGTATTAGTTGAGGATTTACTAAAGTTCATCATGAATCTCAAACCGATTAATAAAATATAATTTATTGTAAGTAAAAATTATGATATATTATTGAGATTTTAATAATTTAGGATTATAGGATAGTATAGTTGTGTCCCTAAAGTCCCTATTAATTTTTCCAAGCATTAAACTATTAATCGAGTGTATTGTACTTGCTTTATGTGATTATAAACACTAGAATTGAGATGGATCATTATTAAAGCAAATAGTACTTTTTACGTCATAATTAATTAATTTATATTTCTCAAAATAATGGGTTAAAATCTTCATTTTTTTTTAAAAAAAAATTGATCCATCTTCCAATTATGCCTTTGAGTGTAATAAATATATTACTTGACTTATTTAAAATACTTATTAATTACTTGATAAAATAAGGTGTAATTGAAAAAAAATAAATAACACCTACTAAATGCTCTATATTTTAAAACAAGAAAAACTTCTAAAAATCAATTTATGCTATATTGCGGGGTGAGTAATAGAATAAATGAAGGTTTTTTTTAGGCCAAAAATAGAATAAGTTAAGGTTAAAAACACAGTACTGCATCAATAAGGAGTCATAGCAAAATCCATAGGCTGATGAATCTGCACTCCTAATTGTTTATATCGTGGATGTAGAAAAGGGGTTTCCTTTAATCTCATCCCACCTCACATATTGTAAAGTACTATTCGTAGCACTGTAATGTAAAGCACATTAAAGCATGGTAAATCAACGCTTTGAATAGTATTTACAGTATTGAAAATATTATTTTTAATTTTTTAAAGTTTTGAATGATAATGTGGGACTCATATTATTAAAAGAACAAGGTGTGAGTATAGTCAATGATAAAGGTCGAACTTGAAGACTCTATTTAAATAAGAGTTTAAATTTAAAAAGTTAGAGGTTTTTTGAAAAACTGAGCTTTAGAACTCAGCTCTAATAGGCATTAAAAAACACTCAAGCTCGATAGCCCTTTAAACCCTATTTCTCAAAAAATCGATGCTAGTTTAAATATTGTATTGTCAAAATGATTGAAGTTAGTTCTTTTATTTTTTTTAACACGATATAGATGATTTTTTTATTAATTTCTTCAACATGATTATTTTGTAAGGTCTATTTCTTGATTTTAATTAATGTTATACTCTATGATATATAAGTTTTTGTATTTATTAGATTTGATAAGATTGATTTGGATTGAACATTTTTATTTCCATTTAAAATTTGATCAAAATTCTATATTAGGATTTGTATTTATTTATTAATTTTTTTATTTTTTAAAAATAAAATGACACCTAATTTTATTTGAGAATTTAATTTAAGAAAATTACAAATTTTAATTAATAATTAAATTGTTTCTTGAAAACAATTAAAGTCATGAGAGAGGAGAGGGTCAAATTAGGTCATGAGAGAAAAATTATACTCAAGATTAAGCCACAGGCATTCGAGAGAAAAGCAAATAGAAAATTGTTTTCGCATATACGTAGAGTGATCTTGATAAATCAACCTTCACGAATTTGTTTACCGTTGGATCAATTTTAAATTTGGTCATAAAGTTTATAACATCCAATTCATCCTTTTCAATTGTTGGATCATTGATTAGTTTCGTGGTTAGAGAGTTATTAACATCCTCATTTGTAACATCTATTTTTGCATATTCATATAGCAATCTTGATAAATTGAAGTTTTTGAATTTATTAATTGTTGGATCAGTCTTAAATTTAGTCATTAGGTACGGAACATTTGATTCATGTTTTTTAAAGGTTAGATTATTGCTCAATTTTTGATTGAGAATTATTGATTTTTTTTTCATTTATAACAGCCATTATCGTATCATCACAAAGTAGTTTCGATAAAAATTTTGTTTGTAAATTTGTTTACCGTTGGATCTTGTTAAATTTGGTCGGCTAGTTTGTTACGTCCAACTCAGTAATTTTGACAATTATACCTTTGATTTGTTTTCTTATGTGAAATTTATTAACTTTGTCTTTCATATAAAATTTAACCTGAAAACCTAGACCTAATAAAGAATCCTCACAGTTAAATAACGAACTATGGAGACTTAGAGTGAGTTTAGTTAGACTTTTAAGGTCTACTAGATTTAATAATAATTAATGAAAACTCTAAAGTAATTAATAGAATGAGGTTTTAAAGTGTTATGCTAGAACATGAGTAGCGTTGGGTATATACATGTGCTCAGTAATGATAAACTCTTATTATGTTGACTGTAGATTAATATTTTATGGCTGTTGTGCGTGATTGAAGACCTTGTGAAAGAATCCTTTAAGTTCCCTTTGGTTGACTTAAGGGGTGGAGGTAACTAGAAACTTAAATTCCCTCATGTATTAATTATAGTATTTTATTGTATATCTTTTTATAAATGATGTTTTTGAGGGAAAAAAGTATAAGTATGATATATATATATATATATATATATGAGAATGTATATGTGATTTATGTATTGCAAGCTTGAGAAATGAACTAAAGCATTGAATGTGATATATTATCATTTATTATGGAATCATAAATTATTGTGTAATTATGAATTGTGATAGAATCATGAATTGTTGTTACAGTGAAATTATGAATTATTGCGAAATAAGTGATTTGCATATGTGATAAAAATGTTGAGAATATGTGACTCGCATGATTATAAATGTGATGCACATGCAGCCATAGAGGGTAGGAGTTCATCTTATGTCTAGGAGAGTATATTTAAGTCCACATAGTATGGATAACATATAGGTAGTGCCTATAGTTATTTAATTGTGGCACCAACTTTGATGGGGGT